ATAAATGAAATCTAATTGTTATTTGTACATATGTATATAATACTAATTTGTTCGGTTTGTTTAAGATATTTGTTTTCAGCTATTTTCAGAATTTGACTGTTATATCGATTTTGACAAATTAATTATTGTACCAAAAATGACATTACAAGGACTTGACATTGAAAAAGACGGAACGTAAAAAAGAAAGAATTTGACAAAAATAATATTTTAAATAAAGGCATGGCTTCGACCTTATAATTAAAAAAAAATATTGAAGGAAAAAATTAAAAGAAGACATGGCTTCAGCCTTAAAATTAAAAAAATGTTTTAAGAAGAAAATTAAAAGAAGACATGGCTTAGGCCTGATATAAAAACTTGAGTCGAGAATAATAAAGGAGATTAAGACATTTAAAAATAATTAAAGATACAAAGGACATGGCTGTATGGGCTTTGTTCTCTTTGCCTGTTCTGAACAGAACGAACATAACCAAAAATAAATGTCTGTGTCTTAAGAGTTCAGTTATTCCATAGATAATACACTATATTAGAAATTACACTATATGAGTTATTCTTTCAAATTAGGACTGTTGATATTTTTTAAAAATCGTATTTTCGATATATCGATATTTTAAAATATATCAATATCTTAGTTTGATATATCGAAAAAAAATATCGATATTTCGATAGATCGATATTTTTTTGATATAATTTTATAGGCTTCGTTTAAATAAAACAATCCTAAGTCAGCTCAGAAATGATTTACACAGTTTTTATTTCAGTATATTTATTAAACAAATTAAATTATAAATGTATTTAAGATTTTAAACAAGCTAAAACTGAGTAAACACGTTAATTACAACAAGACAGTAATATTTTTTCATAACCTCTCTTTTTAACTTTGCTCATGTTAATCACCGAGTACAGAGTAGTACAGAGACAGACCATTATCTATATAATGAAAACTTATTTTTAAAAAATATCGACCGCCGAAATTCATATTTCAATATCGAAGTATCGATATATCGCCCAAAATAATATTAGTAATAAATATCGATATTTCTAAAAAATAATATCGATATTTCGATATATCGATATTTTATCAACAGTCCTATTTCACATTGTATGCAAAGAGTAAATTTGTTTGCTTTGTGTAGTTTTGTACGAGTACATATTCAGTTTTACTATTTGTGGCCGGAGTTATAATAAATAAATACCTACATAATTCATTTACCATTTCTTAGTGTAATTTTCACATTAGTTTCTACAGGATAACTTGTACTGTGTGTTTTTTTCTGAAGTGTTTGTTCAACAAGGTAGGTCAAATTATTATAGTGTTGGAAAGTTTTGATAGACCATTTTGATACTATTACAAAAGAATAGGAATAGAATAAGAATAGTATTTTTTATTTTCAGTTGAATTTTTGTTTCAAAAAATGCCGGCAGTTAGACGTACAAACTTAAGTTGCAGAACCCGTAATGCCTCAAGTCAAAGATATAGAAGAGCAAATGTAACTGATGAGCAACGTGAAACGCGGAATTAAGTTGAACGGAATCAATGAAACCGTAACCAACGATACTTGTAGAAGTTTTGCGTTTAAACCCTATAGAGCGGCATTTAATTATAACAAAGAAATGGAATACAGTACAATAAATTTTATGCCAACTTTTAAGGTAAGTGTATTGAAAAAACATTTACCACTATTGTTGATAGTTTTCAATTGTAATGGTGTATTATTTGAAATGGCTTAAAGTACATTTGTAGCTCTGTGAATTACTTAAAGTAGTCAGAAGGAATTGTATTAAAAAAGTTGATGGGGGAAAGGAAGTGCTCACAAAGTATTTTCAGTGTCACTTGGTGGTTTGAACAATTCACTTTACAATATGTACATATATGTAATACAGGAATGTTTACCTTTGCAGATTCATGGACAAATATATCATCAAACACGTTCCTTCTACCAGTGCCGGATAGTGACTTTTGCAAATATATTTCATGGACAATTCAGGAAGACAAGTCCATCAGCATTGTGCACACAACTATTCTGTGAAAAGACCAGTTGTGGAACAGCTCCAATTATTTTTCCATTAACACAACACATGGGTTGCATTATTGAAGACCGCATTCGATAAAATGCCATCTGATAATCACAAAATTGTTATCAAAGTCGACAAGACGCCTGTAGGGCAACACATTAGACATTTTAATGCCCCAACAATCATTCAAGTCACTATTGTCATTGTTTATGAAAATGTAGATTTTACACCGATGTAACAATCAACTGCAGTATGTGTCCGAAACACATTGAACATAATATGATGCTTTACAATATCCTATCTTATTTTGGCAAGGTGAAGATGGATATCATTTTTAATGAATAATGTTTATCATAGCTTTAAGTAGTTTATATAATTTTAACACAAAAAAATGTTTTTAGGTTTTGAAAGTAACAAAAAAGTTACTTCAATGAATCATTATTCATACAGTCTTATGGTTGGAGAAGCTGAGGTCAATCACTTCTTAAATGTTAGCATCTCTTTCACCAATATGCTGTCGATATGTATGTAAAGGTAGAAACTGGATGATTAATGTTTATAAGGTTGAACCAGGCAAAACTCCGCTCAGAGGAATAAGGAAATTAACTTCATTCAGACAAAAACGTAACAGATATTTGTTGATTATAGGGCGATACGAAGTTTGCCAGGTCAGCTAGTATATACATAATTGTATATGTGATATACAGAATTGACTTCTATTGTTTTTACAACCCCAGAAAATAGATGAAGTCAAATGAAAATAAATACGCAATTATTTAATTATTATCTACTTTGATTAAAACCAATAAATTTAATAAAATATTTTCAAAAACTGCTTAACTCACAAAAATCGCAAACCATTAAAAAAAAATTGTACTGCTGTAATATACTGGGCAGTCCATGTACTGTTATGATAATAGCATTTCACAATATAAAAGTGATCCATTCTAATATCTTGTTACGAGCTAGGGTTTGATTAGCAATTTAAACATGGTATTATATCGTAATATTGCTTGTATCTCGATGTACAAAACACTAATTCTAAACCGCCCCCGCGGCCCATTTTATATGCAATAATCCGATTATTAGTTTACATTTCTACTTGTTTACAAACATTAGCAAGTGGAATATTCTAATAAACGTATAGCTAACAGTTTCATCCACCAGTTTCATAAATTTATTTTGTGTAAATTAAAGTTTATATTCTATAAAACAATTTTTAAGATTTATTTTGGACGTTAACGAAAACGTAAATGTCACTTTATGTTATCTTAATTTTTTTAAAGAGGTATTATAGTGCGCGATAAATAAGCTGAGCTTGGATTTGTGTAACTATATTAATCTATGATAACCTATTATATCTGTCTTGAAATTTTTATCTTTCCCAGCGAAGCTGTAATGCAATTAGGCAAAGAAACAACGCGAATCAAATATCTCAGCAAGAACGATAAAATGCACGAAAAGATTAGTATGGATGCCGCGCTAGTATGGAGCGAAGAAGAGCCTTAATTCGTGCTTCTCAAACACAAGTGGAAAGAGAAGCAGCCCATGAAACGGCTAGGTTAGAAACGAGAAATCGTTGAGCTAATCGTACAGATCAACACGGGGATAAATAATATTTGAAGTCCAAGAAAAAATGGTTCAAGTATTAATTTGAATCGAGCAGCGTTTCTATATGATTGCACTATCAACTACAGCTTGCATCGTTTACTAAGCATTGGTAAAATGGACATTTTTTGCCAGCATTTGCGGCGCATTGATATGTGAATAGGTACCTAGCTGACCTGTCGAACTTCGTGTCGCCCTATAAACAAGAAATATCTGTTACTTTTTTATCTGAATGAAGTTAATTTCCTTATTCCTCTGAACTGAGTTTTGCTTAGTTCAACCTGATAAACGTTAATCGTTCAGTTTCCACTTTTGAAAATACCTACCAACAACACTATTTATATACCAGAAACTAAAACTAAGAATATTATGTATTGTAAAGCATTAGAATAATAAACACTTTGTTTTTGGAATATTTTTGATTTATTAATATAACAATTGGAATTCAATAATAACAGTTAAGAAGACAGACCTTTGTCTGTCGACTCAGCTGTACATAATTAAGAAATTAATTTCTTGAAATAAAAAGGGAACAGATATTTCTTGATTATAGGGCGTTGCGAAGTCCGCGGGGTCATCTAGTTTTACAATAAATACGAATGATATTTACCTGTTATTGATACAGGACATGTATAAATGTGTAAAATTATCTTCAATATACTTATTATTAGAACTCCTAAATTTACTGGAATTAATCTTATGACCTCATTTAGTATTTTCCTTGAACCGCTTTATCGTTCGAATAATATGTATGTGGTATCTTGAAAACATTTATTTATAATTGAACATTAGTTAGTCATTGTTACAATTATATTACTCATATATTTAGAGTAAGAAGAGGCATTGTAAAGGAATTATGAAAAATAAAATGTGAAATGATTAGTAGCGCCATCTTTTGAAATGTTATAGAATAACTTGACATTTCCACTGCTTCTTTCCTTCGTAGGAACGTAGCACGTATTTCACTTAATATATACTCTAGATGGCGTATATTATATTTGTAATTCAGTTATTTTATTTCAATCATATTACTAAATTTTATTTCTATTAAATGTACTATTTTCACTTTCGAAAGAATATAATTTAATTTTATATTTCTTTTAAGTTTATTATGCTACAATTATAATAGGTACACTTTATCTTTTTTCTATTTTGGATATGTCAGTCTTTGTAACAGATATTAGATTTTCGTTATTACTATTTTAATTATAGAATAGAGACAATGACTATGTTTTAAATTAAAGTTTCCTCATTATCGTTTACTAACTTATTTCCTCGTTTTGTTTCATAATTATTTCATAGCCATTATTTCCTTAACTATGGAAGGGTTTAGCCGTTTTACAATTGTTCTTGTTTTAATTTTTTGGGAAGTTTTTGTGATGCCAATAGGTAAGCATTTTTTAAATAAATAGATTAATTATGAAAGACTATATCAGACTATTTATTGTATTATCTTTTGCCTACGATAGCAGAACAGATGTTCAGGTTAAAAGCTATTGCAAGTTTTTGTCATTGGTTGAAATTCTTCATTACTAAGGATAGGCTTTTTGTATTTTTTTTTTGAAATCCTAATTTGAAGCTTCAGAAGTCATACGTTACCTTATTATTAGCAAAATTTCATTTATTTTAACTTAAGAAAATTTAACGCTTCTTAAGTGTGTGTGTTGTGTTGCGTGTTATATTGTAACTACATATTAATGTACCTATTAATCTCATTTTATGTAAACCCTGTGTTTTTATGAGAAAATAAACTCTTTAAACTTGAAATGTGTTATGAAACAATTTTAATAATTAATAATGTTATTAATAAATATCAATAAGATATTTTTTTTGGACAGATTTTTATTTTACGAATTAGTCCCCATGAAGGGGATATGTATTTGGTACGAAATAATTTTATGAATATGGTTTAACAAATTGTCTTTAACAAATGTAATTAATTGTATTAATTAATAATTTAATTTTATTGGATTTAATTTCGTGTATTATTATATTTCATTAGCTGTTGCCTGCAGCTTTGCCCTTTTATTTAGCCCCTTTTGCAATAAGTTACTTCTTATGAGAATGAGTGATGGCGAGTGAAATTTTATTATTTATAATCTCAAACAATCAGGCATTCAGAGAAAATTAAAAAAAACAGTTTTGGTGCAAGTGTAATATATATTTCCATGAAAATGCGTTTAGTTAAAATCAGGTAATTTGAAATTACAAAGAAAAACTTAAATTTCTGTTATTCGTACAGATGTACGTTCCTTTTTTTGTATTTGTTAATTATGTGAGAGATTAAAAACTCGATTTTCTCCCGTTAAGCTAACCCGTTTCATTGAACCAGTCTGCTAGGCTTGTGTAACATTACTATAAACTATTTCTAAAACTAGGAATTAAATAATTTATTTTCTAAATACATAAAATAACGTTTTCTTTTATAGAATGTATCGAAATACCACCAGAGCCCTCTAAGCTAAATTGCAGCGACTCTTCAGTTTCATTCGTAAGTAAAAATTTTGTATTTATAGACAAAAAAATATTTCTATAATATGACGGGGCTTTCATATAATAAAATTTTAAAAAAGTTGCTAAATATATCTCATTATTATACCAACATTTCTTTATCCTTTCAGAGACAAGGTAGTTTAAGCGGCAATGTGACAGCTAGCAAAGGTATCGTAAAATTATTATTTTTTTATCGATTAACACGAATTGATTTTTATGAATGACCATGACCAATGCCTTGTATTTTTTTTAGATGGCCCTAATTTAAGAATTGTAAGTACTGGAATCTTTAATTTACGATAATCTGCTTTTTTGAGAACATTTGCCAATTAAAAAAAGTGTTTTTTTATTATATGTAATAATAATTATTATTTAATCTAAACTATATTTCCAGAAAATAAAAAGTAAAGTAGCATGGAACAGTTCTACCAATTCGAGTGATTGTAAGTCTGCACATTTATTTATAATTGAAATAAAATGGATTGGAACTATTTTTTAAATATTTTTTATATCAATAAAAACTCGTGTCTCCTGCAGGTAGAATTAAGGAAGAAAATGGAGGACATGGGCCTGTACTTAATACGGTAACTAAAAATATTTTTCTCTTAAAAAAATATTTAAAAAACACTTTCCTGGTCTATCAATTGAATTGAATTTTGTTTTTAAAAGCCGCGTTTTAGTTCTCTGTGATTGTGATATTCATTCATTCATCAATAATCGTGATATTTAAAAGTGCATAGTATTTACTATAAATAAAATGAATCAAAATACAATTCGAAATGGTTTGTTAGGATAACAAAATCCCTTTTAAATTTTTTTGCATTAAAATTGTACTTTCATAATGTTCAGTAATGAAGTGCTTTCACTATAAGAGGTCGCTTTACCGAAGCTATCACTTTTCGAAGTCATTCGATGAGTGAGATATCCTTACAGTATTCTCTTATATAGTACTTATTTCTTTTTTACTATAAAATTCCCGTATTGTTCTCATTCCTGGTCCTAAATACTAATAAATAGTGTTCATTGAAACACTAAAAAATTCAGAGCCACATGCTTATTTGCTAGTCTAAATTATTGTGTCAATTAGTGAAATTTTCTTAATTTTGTAATATTTAGGTAGAAAAGGGAGGAAAAGGTGATAAAGGAGAAAAGGGTGAGAAAGGAGAAAAAGGTAAAAAGGGAGACAAGGGAGAAAAAGGTGAAAATGGAGAAAAAGGGGAAAGGGGTGAAAAAGGATCGCCAGGAACACGTGGGTTAGATGGCGCAAAGGTAAAAAATTATGCCGTATACTTATCTTGATATATGAATCTATATATATAAAAATGAATTGCTGTTCGTTAGTCTAACTAAAACTCGTAAGTAATAGAAATCTATGCAGTAATTATTGAAAAACTTTAATGTAATATATGTAGTTATAAACGTGATTCCAAAGTAGTGTATGTTTTAGAACCATTGTGCCTATTTTTATCTGTAAAATGTACCCTGATAAAATATTATATTTAATTAATTATTTGGCATGCTTCCATAAACTTGTATTTGAATAAATTATGAGCTTTATATTTTATAATAATAAAATATTTCTTCACCTCATACATTTGAGGAGCAAAAAAGCCAACAATTCCTGAAAAAATAACAACTAAAATAAATCACTCTTATTTTTTTATTATTTTGTATGTTTGACTTTCATAATTTGGACGGAAGTTTTGAATATTCTAAATATTTTATTACCTGTGTTCAATTATTGTTTATTTTTGTAAATTTTAGGGTGATAAAGGTGAAATGGGTCTACCCGGCATCATTGGCTTAACTGGCCTAAAGGTAAAAATATAGAAGAGTCTTTTGAATATTTTGTTAAATAGTTTTTTGATATATAATAATACAAAACTTTTTTTATATAAAGGGAGATAAAGGAGACATAGGAGAGCAGGGACCAAAGGTAAATTTACTTTATTAAATGATTTTATAAAATTAAGAAGTGAAAATTTAAAAGCCGATTTAAACGTAATACTTCTTAATGAACAATCTTATTATTTTTTTTTAGGGAGAAAATGGAAAAGATTGTGAAGGTGAGGGAAAAACTTTTTTACGGCTTAGTAAAATTTATTGAAATTTTATTGACCTTTAGCATTGCGTTCAATTTTACATCTATTTTTTATAGGTCTATCAGCAGCAGAATCGGGACACACTAATGTTGGTTCAAAATCTATGCCTGCTTACACCTGTTCTTCAATACCCGATGACGGTAATTTAGATGTTATAGAAATTATGAATTTCGTATTATATGTAAATTATATTTTTTATATGATCCTCATAGCAAAAATTTTTTAATGGTCAAAACTAAATTCACATCTTTCAAATTTAAATTTTAATATTCGTTCTTGTAACAATAATATGGTTTTATTTAAGGTTCTTTTTACGTCAATCCATCAAGAAGTTTCGAAGTTAATTGCGAAGGATACAAAACCTGTATAAAGCTACCGGATCGTCTTAGGACCTCCAACTTTAATGCCTCAGCTTATGAATTTAAAGATAAAAAAGGTTTTTGGCTAAGTACTTTAGGACTCACTGTGAAAAAATTATATGGTGTAAGTTATTTGTTTTATTACTATGTGGAAATAAATACTTAATATATCGTGCTGTAAAAAACTGTATTGAATTAATTGACGATGAGTTAGCCTCATAACATAAATTTATTGATGCTAAAAATTCATAAGATAAGATTTAAATTGAACACCGTACAAACTAAGATTTCCGTTTTGTATATTACAAAATACTCAGTTTGATTGTAAACTCTTTGTATTTCTAAGTAAATGATAAAAATATTTTATAACGTAACATTTTTCAGCAAGATTTTTCAAGATTGCTATATCTCATGACGAAGTCAGAAGGCTTTCAGCTCACAATGAAATATCACTGTTTCAACAGTCCAGTAGAGTCATTAAAGATAATGACATGGAATGGAAATATTATAAGTAATATGTCTACCGCCAAAACTCCAATTAAATTTGTAATACCCGAAAAGAGTAATGGGTGCAAGGTAATAAAAAATGTATTATTAATAAAATTATATTTAATAATAGTTATACAATGTATTAGTCCATCGAACTACATTATTTAAATTTTTCATTTGCAGGACGCTAAGAAGAATGAGTTAAAAAGTTCTACTATAGAAATTGAATCTGACATAACAAGTTACCTTCCCGTTGATTTTTACGTAGGCGATATCATAGGAGATACTATTCAAAAAAATTATATAGAGTTGACAAGTCTATGTTTTAAATAATAAAATGAAAAATTTCAATTATTTAAAATAATTTATTAAATTTTTAGTGAAGTTATGTTTTTCACTTAGTAGAGTAACCTAAAGTCGAATAATGAATTTAATTATTATAGGAATATGAAATGATTTAAAAATAGTGATAATTTTAATGAAATTTCTAACTTATATCATTAGAAAAACTCGATAATCACATTCTTATATATGTAACTCTTATTAGTGACATCTATACTAATATCATGGTATCTCTTGATATCAAAATATTCTGTTCTTTTTATATTTATAATACTTACCAAGAGATGGCGCTGTTTACCGATGAAACTTACGTTTATAAATTATTGTAATCTGTGAAAAATATTACGCTTCGATCTCAAAGGAATATAACACATGAAATGAATTAAAAATAGTGATAATTTTAATGAAGTTTCTAACTTATATCATCAGAAAAACTCTGTAATCACATTCTTATATATGTAACTCTTATTAGTGACATCTATACTAATATCATGGTATCTCTTGATGTCAAAATATTCTGTTCTTTCTATATTTAGAATACTTATCAAGAGATGGCGCTGTTTGCCGATGAAACTTACGTTTATAAATTATTGTAATCTGTGAAAAATATTACAATAAAAACTTTGATTAAAATATAATCTTAGTAATGTTTTAGTGACTTTGGTTTATAATTAATGTGTTAATTTGATTTTATTATACATTTTAGAATCCTCAAAACTTACATACCCGAAATAGGCGCCTTTCAACAATTTTCACTTAATAAGTTGAGATGTTAATTTAATTATCTAAGAAGACGCTATTAGTAAATTATATAGAATACATTAAAAGTAAATTTCGTACATTATAAACTCTCCGCAGTTTAAGTTGTGTAGCATAAGTTAGTAAGATAAGTGAAATTGAAATTTTAGTTTCTAAAACAGATCAACAATTTTGAAGTTCAAATTATTTTTAATAAATTTTATGAAAGCATGTAAGCTTTCGAACTTCTACTAATATGACGAATACCATTTTTATAAAAAATCAAATTAAGAAAGAGTTTAAATCTGGTTTACAGCGAACTCATTAAAACTTTATGGACTATATCTGCTTTGTTCTTTTCACTGAATATCTTGGTAGCATCGAAATAAATAACCTACCTAAATAAGTCATAAACGGCTAGGGTTTCGTTTCGCTGTAAAAATAATTCAACATACATATTTATATATATATTGTTAAATTACATTATGAAGGCCATGTTAGGACATAATTTAAACTCGAATGTTTTTAATATTATTAGTAAAATAATCTAATAAGAAAAAGCTTTATAAAAACCATAACTTAAGATAAAAACAGTAATTTTATATAAGCTGCAAAAGAAATATTACGCTAATTATCTAATAATTTTACAACTTTTTTTAGCGAGGAAGATAAAAAGTGTGAAATTAATGAGAAAAATTTTATATTCTTGGCTGTTATTAAATTTCCTTAGGTCACCTTATTAGAAGCCATCCCTGTGCGTCTTTGTAATAGTGTTCCGTAATACATTATTCTGTAAGTATCATACATACGGGAATACTAAAGTTGAGTGCGACAGGACGGCAGTGGCCGTGTGATGAATATTTTAGATGACCCGAGCGGTGTTCGCGAAATTTTGTAAAGCACTTACTGCAGCAAATTAATAAAGCGAAGCGAGGCGATAATGTAATAATATTGTATTAAAATTAATTTTCATATCGTAATACCGTTAAAATTAAGAATGATTCCATTAAAAAGAGCACAGTGGGTATATAACTTATAAAGCAAGGTTTTTTTCATCAAGGTCAAAAAAGGAGATACAAAATAAGGCATTACATGTTACTCTGCTTACAAAATATTTTTCTATTTTATAATACATAAGATACAACACTTTTAACAGTGATCGTTTTATTTATATATATGAGATATATTGAAAGGAACTACATGATTTCATTATCTAAATGTATACTAGATGAGCGTATTATCCGTATTATTAGTATTTTTTAATATTAAAATAAAACCTTATTCCGTTAAAATATATAAAATATCTGTCTTTGGTTCTAAATCATAAAATTTCACTTTTGAAATCTATTCAAGAGAAGCGTCTTAATTAAGGTAGGTATGTACCTTTGCTTTCCACATACACGCAGTGAATAGAGGCCTGTTCCTAACGATAGGAATCAGAAGTGAGCTTAGGTATGAGTCTATTTGCAATGCTATCTCTGGGAGAGATACGGTTATAGGTAAATTGAACCTAACAAGAAATGTTATTAAGTTAATTAATAAAGATTATTTCATTGATCATGATACAGAAAAATAATGTTCGAAAGATGTATTTAAGACAATTCATGAAATGTATCTGTATTCATGAAAATACCACATGAAAAATAAAATATTTTTAATTGGTTTCCTGAACAAAAATAAATTATTTATATAGCATGCCCCCGAGCTTAAGACTGTCACCGTAGAAAGGAACTTTCAAGTGAATATAGGTACGAGAATTATTTATAAGATTATTATATGAGAGTACTGCATTTAAAAGTAGTAGGTATTATTGTAATATGAAATAAAATACAAAACAAAATGCAAACAAATACTGAAAAATATATGTTCTTATCATAATATAGTGACAAAATTATAAAAAAGTAAAAAAGAAAAATTAGCCACATTTTTGTTTTGCAATATATAGAAGTTTTAAGTATTGGGTATTTGACTAATGTTTTTTATATTTTAAAGTTTTTGTGCCTTGGTTCAAAGTATTGCGATTTGAGAGCAACTGGTTTGTTAAGTTTCAAATCAACTCTTGTAGTTTTTAGAAATATATGATCTGTTCTTCGTAATTAAGGACATATCTATTACTTTCTCATTTATAAATTTCGTGTAAGAAATATCCTCAATATAATACAAGGCAGTTGGAGAAGTAATATTTTTGAAACCAATATACCTAAGTTATGATTAGAAATTCAATTTGCTTTATAAGAACAATTAACAGTTTTCTTAAATTTTATTAAATGAATACCAACGATCCGAACAAGTTTTCATTGGCATCATAGTTTTATAAATTCGCGCCAAACTTTTATTTTGCCTTTATATTTCAACAACTTTTGAGTAAAATCCGTGGATCGTTGACTTTCATCCGCCGTAACTACTCAATTTGTTTATTAAACTTTTGTAACTACGAGCATTAAACCCTTAAAACCTTATTGGTCCCGCATTCAACGACTTAGTGACATAAACCTAATGGGCCCCTATAATGAAACAACTTCTGATACTAGTTTTATTTATGAATTGATGAATATATAAAAAAAATCGACTTACTCGTTTCGTACGATTTTCGTGGATTTATGACACTTTTTTTATTGAATAAATTAAAAATTCTTAAATAAATGAAAGTTAAAATTTTAATTTAAAATAAATTGCTGGTACAAAATATTATACTATATAACTTATTAGCGACTTGTTGAATAACATTATATTGAAGCAGTCGTATAAAATAAAATGAAATAGGTTGCTGACACAACATTTCAATGTAGGTTTCAAAATAATTCCCTTCTTTAAAAGTATTTTCATACATAGGTATATGTAATTGTATTATCAACGCTCTCTTTATCTTTGTTTTAAAATTCGTGAACTTATTTATTGTGTTATTAATCCAATTATTTGACATTTTTAAATACTATCAGTACTAAAAAACGGAGAATGAGATGAAAAATAATTTGAAATAGTTGCTTTTGTATTTCTTATTTTTTTTTATTTTGTAGCAAAATTCTACACATAAAGAGTATTTTATATTTGTTTTACGAGGTTTTCTTGATTCAGATCGTTACAGTTGATGTGAATTTTGACTGGGTTGTTAAAAAGTCCAATAACAACAGTCCAAGAAGAAATTGGGATATTAAAATAATACTACAAACATGCGTAAAATAACTTGAAATCGGGTTTTGTTAACATTTCTATTTTCTAGGTAACGATGGTATGGAATAAAATATACTATTTTTCATAAGCATATTCTTAGTAAGGATTTTTCATTTTATTAGATAATTAGTACACTTATTTTCGTTTATTATTGTAGGTACAACACAAAAAGAAGAAATACAAAAACAAAAATGGACTTATTAGGTTGACAAATTAGGTGCCTGGACACATTCTTAATAAAGTAAATAAATTAAGGGTTTACAGTTGTTTAAAATATACAATAATGTAAACAATAAAACAACTCTGTATTAACAATGATAATATATTAATCTTTATATATTTTATTACATACTATAATACTATTGTAACTATGCTCAAAGCTAACAACAGTCTAAAGAAGTTTCTCCATTGATGATTTTTTATTATGTGACATCCAACAGAACCTGTAAAATTAAACATTTGCAATGTACATATATAATAAACTTTACTATTTATATCACCGTCTTATATAGCAAGTTGACTTAGTTGACAAAAAAAGCCACATACCTGTATATTATAAAATAATTTAAAACATTTTACAGTATATTTCTTAATAAAAATCAATGTAAAACACTGTATGATAGCATTTGATGTATTACAAAAAGGATATTGAGTGATAAAATCTGACCCTTACCATTCATTTCAGATTTGACACTGCGCATTTCAGAGTCCTTTAGAAAAATATATTCAGCTTTAAAACCAGTTCCGTCTAGTCTGTCGTTGGAACGGAAGGTCACTCTCAGGAAATTACTCTTCGAGACAACATCCAGCTCTCTCAATTGACCACAGTATCTTTTACTATCTATATCTATCATTTGACTAGAGAATTGCACGTAGTCACTCGCTGAGACAGCTTCGCATCTTGAAACAGTTTTTTTTAAATAGTATTTTAGAACAATCACATTTTTCTAAATGACAGTGGCGTGCACACCATAGATGCAAATAAGCACTGCATACCCTACGCATATAACAACTAAACCTCTATTGTTTATTTCTTACTTACATACCTTTAACCATACCTACATTACGAAATACAAATGTTTAACGTCATTTAATATGACATTTGATTCACGATTTGCTAATAAGTGTCATCTATCAATGTAAATACGAAACATTTTCGATTGGCCGCTGCCAACTGCTAGCGCCGCTATGCAGCCAGAGCGGCTATATGCACCATCGACGTAATATGCTAATGGACATGCCTTAGAGATGAGAATTGTGGCACTCCGAAAGAAAGAGACGAAACGAAATTTCGGTCTATCTTTATCTCTCTCAAAATAGTATCGTACTTAAGACGTTATGAGCCCCTTCTGTATAATTTATTATTTCCTAATGTCATATACAGCTTTACGTTTAACCTCACTTTCTCTGATTTTTAGCATTTTTAGTATTAATGACGTATGAATTATACGGTTAAATTAGTCATGAAAACTGAGCGCCAATCATTTAAGAGGAAAGAGATAGTGCTAGACCGAAAGCATAGGCCATCTCTCTCACTCTTTTCAAACCAAAAAAATTACTGCAGATTATACGCGAAAGGCATGTCCATTAGTATATGTCGATGGTATGCATAACCACTCTGTGTTTATTTTCCATTCAAAAATTCTCAAGAAGATCTACAAATCTCGTGTATGTATACAGGACATGTTTGTATGTGTGTGTAACAAAAATGTGTAAAATAACACATGCATAGTGTTCGAGTAGCACTGTTTATTTTGCATTGTTTAAATTGTCGTAGAAAGTCAGTTAATTGACAAACGAAATGGGACTCTCTGATTGTTCGGTAAACTGTTCATATATTTTTTTCGCCATTTTATTATTATTGAATATTGTCATATTTTGTCTTTCTAAGCGCGAGTGAAAAAGTTTTAATTGGTAAACAGTGGATTAATTTATTAAGGAATTATGGAAAATTATAGCTGTGAGCTTTGTGCTTGTTATGTGTCTTTATCAATGATGTTTTACCTTTTTGTATAATATATCTAATATTATTGGTCTTTATCGTATTTAAATACGAGTAAAGTTCAATATCGTCGTTTGATAATAAAATTAAAATAAGTTTAAAGTCAAGGTGTGTGACCAGTTGAGATTGAACTATAACAAAGGCAAGGTTATTCGTTTCAATAAAAAGTATTATGATATTTTTAATTAGTTAGCTGCAGGTTATGTACCTACACACAAATAAGTTAATTTGTTTGGCTTGTTTGTTGTTTTCAAATTCTAATATTAAGAATGTTTGAATCTCCACTAGATATTGGATATTCCTATATAAGTAAATAACTTTTATAAAGCTGTGATGAACAGATCCTATTTGTTTTAAGTTACTTTCATGGCTCGGAGTTATTTGAGAGATTCATAAAGTATATAGATGTTCGTTATGATTTTACTATGTTAGCAATGTTTTAGAAAAAAAAATATGAAAATTGGTAATTTTTTTTTCATACATATTCTGCTAACCCTACCTCAAATCTCTGTGCACGCCACTGCTAAATGATAATTTTAATTTTATAATACCAAGAGATATTACATATATTGTTTTGGGAACTATTTTTTTTATTTTAACGTCATAATCATTACATACATATTATGATTGGAGTGTAATGTTATGGCTATGTATGATTTCCTTCAATATTGTAGTTTTCTGCATTTTAATATTAAATGGCTTCAAAATAATACAACATGAATAATTTTCATATATTAGATATTAGATAAAGGAAATATAGTATTTATTATTTTGAAAACACAGTATTATATTACTTCTATTACTGCGAAGCCACATTACTGGATTGTGTTTTAAGTACCAAGATTTAAAATTTATCGGAGAAATCAAATACATTTGCATTACTGTTGTTTAGGAATTCTTTAAAATATTTTCTCATACTTAGTTGCCATAGAATATGATCTCATTACTTTAAGTAAAAAAAGCCGATAAGACAAAGAGCTCAAAAAAAATCCTTGATAAACATTACGTACTTAATCTTAACTCATTAAGAATTTGGGTGGAAGTTAATTTACTTTACAAAAAACAAAGAAAATTTTCTAATAAAATATTCTTTTCCCTCAAATTAAACGTCTTTTACGAAACAACAAAACTGGACAAAAATACGTAAGTAAGGAAATGAACTTTTTGCTGTTGATATAAAGCATATTTTAAATAATTAAACATTTTTTTCTTATTTGCTCTAACTTATGAGGCTGATGAAAATTTTTAGGACGTAAATTTGTCCCTTATATTAATTAAATTGAAAATGAAAATTTTGAAGGTAAATTATTATCATATGCTACGTAAACATAAAATATATTATTCATAAAAATTATTCATTTACTTTATTAAGAAATTGAAATTTTTATTTAAGTTTAATTAGTGTTTCAAATAGTTCTTCCATCAGTTCAAAGAAATAATATAAACTTTCGTATTAAATAGAAGGCAAACTTAAGATTGAAAATTTTCATACCAGATTCGGTATAGCGTATGAGGTGATTACAACAGCACTGCCGAGTCACCAATTAACACGTATTAAATTTCTATTACGCCGTATTCGTAAATGATTGTATTCGTAAATCATGATTAATTTACATTACATTCACATGCATAATTTTGACATATAGACACATTAGTAATAATTACTTGCCTAAAATATTAGTATACATATAATTAATATTAAACATTAATAAAGTAATGCTCACGGTACAACTCCCTCAACGTCAAAGTGTGAGAACTTAAGATGCACTCTCTCGTTCTTTCGAGCGTGGAAGAAGTAATTGCACTCAGTGTCCCTAGGGTAGAGACCCGGATAATTTGGTGATGTCATAACCCCTTTTCGTCGATCCGTGATATTATATACGAAGGCACATGGATACTCTAAAAGCTGCTTTCCCGTAGCGATTGCATAATCTGTTTATGAAGTTGAAGTTGTGTGTGAAGTTTCATCATCATATAGTAGTGTTCAGTTTGAGGTTTTTATAAGTTAAGTAAAATGATTTAGATTTTCACAGTTGGTTCTTATTACACACAAATAGAACAAATATGATAATGTTTAAACTTTTCCAAAAACGTATACATTTTTGTGAACTATATCTAAGTAAAAAAAAGTTTTTTTTTCGACTGAGTAATTTTTAATAATTTTTGTATAGAACAAAATTATAGCAACAAATCATTTGATGACATTATTTAACAACAAATAAGAACCTTAAAAATATGACGTGTAACCAAAAAGTATTGTGTAATTATGAAAATTATAGCTGTAGATAGAACAACGTACATACCTTCAACAAAATAGTACGCTATCTTAAAACCTCTGCTGTATCTTGACGAATATATACCCCTAAACTCGATGGATAACTTTGGACCATTCGACATTATTGGTTTCGGTACGTCATTGCCACAATATGACGCCATTTTCTCGAGTCGACCGTCCACATACAAAAAGACGTCAAATGAGTCCATACTCTCACAGCTGTAGTAAACAAAAACAATTTTATTTATCAGCAAGTGAACGCAACTTCTTGTAACAATCTAATTTTTAATCTCTTAATATATAACTAAGAATCATGGCAAAGTTTGTCACAATAGCTATATAAATAATTTACTTATATAAATAAAATGTAATTAGTAAATATACTTCGAAACAATTGTACTAAAAAAGATGATATTAAAAGTAAAAATTACATCATTTAGCAGAAAGAACTAAGAAAGTATTCACTTATATGTGTCGCAACTATAAAAATTATTCTTGTTGATGTCTTTTTCCAAACAGAATAGCATAAAGTGTCTTAGAATGATGATATATGACTTGGAAACAGTTTTAAATGCAAAACAGAAATGCTTCGTAACGTAAAGGATATGTTACTAAAATAACTGTATAGTGGTTTAACTTTACAAGCACATCATTTTATCAAAGGTCACTTTTTACACCAGTAGAAATTATACAATCAGTAGAATTTATTTTCACAGTTTATACTAAACTATCATAAATTTTGAATGGCTAAAATTATGAAACATATTATTATACATTTAAATAATATATGGAACTTAATTTAGTAATATTCTGTGGTCACATGAGTACGATAAATCCATTAACGCGTCCACAACTGGCGTTAATTATGTCTCCACAAAAACCGTTTTGTATATTGACTTTTTCATGAGTTGGCACGTTTTGGTGTAATAGGCTGTTGCCAAATCTAATACTTCCCTTTTATTTAAAATTGTATTGACATTTTTTTCTATACTCTGCCGTATATTTAAATATTTTTTCAATTGTTCTAATATGATAATTTAAACAAATTTTATCTAATCACTTTAGAAACTATTGTAAAAAATGCAATACATGTATATTTATTTTTATTTTTAGATGTAGTAAAAAAAACTTACTCGCTAATACTGCTGGCTCGTTGTAGATTAAAGTCTTCAAAGACTAATCGCACGCGTTCCCGCCCTTTCGCGAGAAAGTCATAATGACATTGCGTCTTTTGAGGGTACGGCGAAGGGTATAACGGCGAGATCAATTTGCCGCTTCTGCTCTTATCAGATCTGAATACTTGATGACAAGATGACGCTACAATAGATTAACGCATAAATAAAATGTTATGTTTGTATTGTTTACACTTAAAAGGGTTACATACTGGTTGCGCTAACAGCTGGTCCAATAGAAGAATAACCATCCATTGCACTAGGTTTTTTGTTACCTTCAGTTTCTGAAAAGTAATATTTCCGTCCTAAAAACAGCCTCTGGGACCGTATACTCTAAGCTAAACTTATTTTCTAGATATTTACTTAAATCTATATCGTTACTGGAAATGCTTACTGAACCTGCACTAGAGGCATCCTTCGCAAGAAACTGGTAACTTGCTTTAAATCCTTGTCCGGGTGTTTTGGTATTTGATGTGAATTGCACTAGAAGCTCTGGTCCCGTTGAAAGGATTTCATATCCTTAACAAATAAAACAAAACTATTTTTATTTAATTTGTTTTGTAAACACAAAATGGATATAAAAAGATTATACTAATTTGTTTATGAGCAATAAAACAAACAAACCTATCAGTATTCAGGTGGTCTATTCGTTTCTTTCTTAAAGTCACAGTATTAAATTAATATGTCCCACTTTAATAACATTTATTTTAAATCATGTAAACAATTTATTATTGAAAAATTTCATTCTTACCTACAATTTCATTACAAAGCATTGAAATAACTGGCGCTACTGAACTTCTTCCGTCAAAAACTTTGATGACATCACCACGGTTAAGACAACTAAAAAAAAATCGTCACAAATTTAAACATTTTTTAATATGTTTCTGAAATGCTTTTTAATGTATGTAGTATTAAAATAGAACTACATAAAAACATAATGATAGCTACGTTAAAATAAACACAATAAAATTCATTTATTTCAAAATTCATTAGCTAGAATTTACCTTTCATCACCTTTTTGTAGATATGATTCTTCAAAAACTAATTTTATTCTTTCATTTTTCCTGTAAGAAAACAAAAAGTTTTTTTTAATATCCAGTTATATGGTTTTTATTGTGTCTCTTAAAACTATACAGTTTACTTATTAAAAATACCTTGACCATAATAATAATTGAAAATTGAATATTTTACTTTTCCTTATAAGTTAATTTTCTGAAACCAAAACCAATATGTTTATATGTATTATAAACATACAGAAAACAAATATATAAAAAGAAGAAGACAAAATAATATTTATTTTAGCAAACGTAAATAATATTTTTATTGGAAAAGTCTATTAAAGAAACAATGTTTTATATTAAACATTTTAAATAGTTAAACTCCTTTTAGTGAGTATTCGCTAACATAAATTTTAATAGAGATCAGAATATATGATACAATTTAAGTATTATTTCTAATATCTCAATTTATAAATTCTTTAATAGCATAATACTTTTTATCTAAAGTATTTTCATTCTTAATTATAATTTAATTTAATTTAATTAACTCAAATTAAAACATAAGGCATTTACCTTGCATTAAAATGATAATTGCATCTAATGCTATTAGGATAACTAGAAGGATATCTTGGACTATACAGTCGTCCATGACTAGGACGCTCTGCTTGCGATGCAAATACATAATCACACTGTGTCCCCGATACTTTAACACCATCCGTTTCAAAATTACCTTGAAACAATATTTATTGGATTATTATTTAATTACTTATTCCATAATTGGATAGCTCAGGCTTACATGTAATGTAATTATAATAACTTTAATCTCGACGCAGATAATGCAATTATAAATTTAAATTTATCAAATTACTGTAAGTAGAATATATACTAACGTCGATCGATAAACCTGTATGTTCCAATAAAGCCAGAGGCATTCGAAGGTTTCTCTCCACTTTGGAATTCTAATATCATTATTGGTCCATGAGAATATAACGGCGGTGGTGCTTCAGCTCGATTTCCACATAGAATCCTGGACCAGACTGAAAATTCGTTAATACCGGGAGGGCCGGGACCGTGTATTTCAGCCTCTGAGTATACTTTTAGATAGTTTCCATTGCTGCAACTGAAACAAAATTACGATTTGTAATAAAAGCTAATCCAGTATTCAGAATATTTCTTAATGAAGAGTAGTGTAGGTGTCATAATTTAGTAAAAATAAGGTGTTTTCTCCTGAAAATAAAAGAAACGTGTCTCAGTCAGTCTTTTCACTTAAAAAGTTAAAGGTGAAGTTAAGTGAAATTTATTATTATCAGTGTACATTCTTTACTACCTTACTATTCTTACCTAATTGGTACAGATTTAATTATCTTAACATGTTAGTTATTAGAATTATATTAATATATACTGAAAAGGTATCTTAAGTACAGAAACTTCAACGAATGAAATCCTCCAAACCTATTTGGTATATAAACTATGTTTTAAAGATGCCCCTCATGAAAAATAAGTCACTAAAGCGTAACTCGTCGAGAGGCTTACGATCGTCGTAACTTTGACCCTTCCATTTATATTTCCTCAAAGTCTTTTAGGAACTAAGATTATAACATCATTAAATAAAATCTCAAATGTTAGAACAAAATAAATGATAACACTGTTTTTAGCTTATATAGTTATGAATATATATAATTTTATTTATTATATAAACATGTATCTGCTGTAAAGAAACAAATACGTTCAAAATAACATTTTATTGGTACTCGAAGAACCGGAGTATTTTCGGGTATCAGTTAAATTTGCAAAGTTCTTATTTAAAATAAACTGAAACACAAGAGTATTAACGTTCGGAAATGAAAGCAAAATTTCCTCTCGAACAAAAGCTTTTGGTCCTGTTGTACAACTATAATTTGCAACACGAGCTCGCTGCGACACTCCAAACCTGCTTGAAAACAACTGCTCTATATTTCTGTTAAATGTGAAAATATATAGTCATAAAACATTTTATGATTCTTATTTCTAAAGATTCGCTTAAACTTAATTTAATCAATCTCGTAAATTACGCATTACTTGTTTACTAACTTTTAAAAGACAAAAAAAAAATTGTTCTTGTGTAAAATCGTTTTTTTATAGCTATTGCCCAATATATTTTGGACCGATATATTAATGTTCTTTATCTAATAACTTACAGCTTAAGACCATGGATTAAAAACTCTTGCAAAAAGTACTTTGTTTACGCTGAGACAATTACATTAGGATACTTTGGTTATTTACTATTTGTAGTTTTTCTCTTATTGCTTAGATTATGCAGACTAAACTTGCAACAATGAAAATTAGAACAATTGACTTTACCCAGATTCGTAGTAGTTAAAAATAAATATACAAAGAATATAAATAATCAAATATTAAAATATTGGACTAACTTTGTTTTAATAGCAATGTGAACTAAATTGGAAAATACGATACAAGTCCATGCTAAATTGTGAAGCTTTGGTATCAAAAAATCAAATTTTGTCTGAGTGGTCAATTGTGAAGTGATATCAATTTTAAGGCTTGCTGTACGCAAAACATAGTAGTCGTGCATTTTATACGAAACAGAATATTTGATTGCTGTGTGATGCTGCAAACGTTTTTGATTAGAGAATTGCGAAATATCTTTCTTTTTACTTTTAAACCAAACCTCGACAATTTTTCAACAAATTATTTTGCGCTGTCAATATACATTAATTAAACTGAGAGAACTACATTCAACGTATTTATATTTCCCATTGGAAATATTTCAATATTACAATAAATTATTCTGTTATGAGACCTTTATTATTACTATATAATATGTATTAACCAACTGGTAAATATTTTTCTTAACAATTAATGCAAGTACGTGTACAAAGGAACGTTATAATTGAAACCCACGCTGAATTCAATATAAGGGAAAGAAATCTCCCAGTATGATATTTAATCCGCTTTTTTGTTTCAATTAGATTGGTTGGTGAACGTAATTACGCTGTCATCTATATCTGTCGCTGTATAAAATTTATCGTTTTCATTCTTGTCGCAATTAGTTCAAAAATGTAATTTTTAAACAATATCTCATACTTTTTCTTTCATAGTTACATTTCTTGAAAATAATTTTGAAACAAATTAAAAAATAGAATAAATATTGTAAAACCAACTTTATTTTACACATTTTTATGATTTTTAGCCAATACATATAATAATATGATATAAACACTCGACATATAAACAAAAAAGCAATGATAAATGGTTTCATACATTTAAAGTTCCGTTTCACCCTGGCATTAATATTTTACGCTTGATATCGTTTCGTGCTCTACTTTATCGAGATGTCTATATTTACCGCCACGAGCCGTTAGTGTGGGATGTAAATAATATTTTTCAAACTTTTTAACATTTCTATTTCAGAAAAAATTATTTGTTTGAGAAATCCATTTTCTTTCCTTCTTTGTTTCTCAGTACTTTGATAAAATACTGTTTATCAATATGATTTGTTTTTATAAGGTGAGTGATGGCTCTTTTAACAAAATTTACTGCCACTAAGTTCACATAAATTTTTTCTTAGATAAAATTTTTGAAACAACATATTATACTCGTACATATTACAAAAACAAATATGATGATAGGACGTATGGGATGACGTGACGACTTTTTTTAATAAAGCAAACATTTTGTCAAGCTAGTTTCTTGTCTTTTTAATATTTTAAGTTACCCTAGGAAATGGGTAAGCATAATAACAATTTATGAGTCAAATAGCCCATATTGTAGATTGCATTTGAATACAGTGAGTACAGTGTAGTAAATAAACAAAGACTCTTTTCAGGCAACAATTTTACATACAAAGAAGCTATGAGTTTATAAGAACCTCTATAAAACGTATTTTTGTGTGTAGCACATTGTTTCTTAATATTATAAGTGGACTTAGTTTTCTGGAATGTTTTTGGTTCCTTAGGAACTTTCTTTAATATCTGATTTAAATTATCATGAATTTTAATTATTTAAAGTAATGAACGTTACCAATTCTTAAAAATAAAATATAATCAGACTATGTAGGATGAAATAAATTTTATTGCCTTACAGTGTTACTTTTTATAGAAAGTTATTTAGATACGATTGTTTATATTGACTTGTGTAAAGAAATTATTGCTTAAACATGGTTTAGTTTTAAAGTTATACGCATACATATGACGATGATAACGACGATCCAGCCATTCCAACTGAAACAAAAAAAGGTCTGAACAAATGACACAATGGGTGTTTTGTTGACCAACCACGTGATTGTTTTTGTAATTAAAATGGTGACGCTGTTCTTATCTGAGATAAAATGTAAATTACAATTTTGGTCCTGAATAATTTATTTTCATATCATAAATTTTAAAACAAACGTGAAATTAAATAATCAAATATAATATGGAACATTTAATTCAATGTATTAAATTACTTTTAAATAATTAAGTAAACATATTCTTGTGAACTGCGTCAGTAAAAAGTGTTTGGAACAATAATTTTTTTAATTAATTAGAAAATAAGTATTTTTTACAATATTATAAACATTTTGTTAATTATATTCTTTGGTATCGCTGTTGTAATTTAAGGACTTAATTTTTGTATTTCTTTTATTGGATAAAGGTCCTATAATATAATTTTATAAATAGAACTAAGAAAGTTCATCTTTAGTTTACGCAAGTTCGACCACGTTTCTCGTTTTAGGAAGCAGTTACACTGGCTTCCTATACGGGAACGTAGGTATACTAGGATTCTATGTCTTCTCTACTCTATTCTTACCGACCCTAATGCTCCCACCTATCTATCCTCTAAATTTTCTCTTCTCTCCTCTACTCATAATAAGCCCCTACGATCCTCTCAATCCCTTACCCTTTTCATACCTCCCCATAAATCTGGCTTTGTTTCCAACTCCTTCTCTTTAGTCGCAGCCCGGCTTTGGAACACTTTGCCTGACTCTATTCGTAGAGCCCCTTCGCGCGATTCTTTCAAGCGTCAAGTGAAAGAATTTTATCTGTCGTCTGTCAACACTATGTGATGTCTTTTCTTCTGTACTATTGTCATTATTGGATTCATATATATATGTATATATTTGTGTATATATGTTAAATATTTATGTACTCGTATATGTATTTGTTTGTGCATATTTATGTATATTATGTATATTATGTATATGTATATGTATATGTATGTATTTTATATCATGTATATATTTTTAATGTTTCTTTAACTTCTGTGCACACCCTACATACTTCTATCCTATACTATTCTGGGTTGGCTGGCAGAAAATGCTGTAATAGCGTTAAGTCCGCCCTTTGTACACCTCTGTTTGTGCAATAAAGAATAATAAAAAAAAAAAAAAAAAAAAAGTAGGTTAGATTAGATTATATTTCAACTTGTAAGGTAAATGTTATAGAAAACATCTTTGTGGGTTTTTGTTACTTCCACACGATTATCTCCAGGATGTCACCACAATGGTTTGCTGTATAACAAAGGAGTTCTATAAAGTTTTGATCGGCTTTGTTATAATAATATTAATAATAATATAAAAAAGTAGACGATGTTATTAGTTCCATTTATAAATATAATCAATAGGGTGTGACTTACAATTTATATAGAATGAAAATTATATTGACTTCTCTAATGAAAATTTAATTGATATCAAGTTTATTAATAATAACATTATTTGACCTGTCTTTATCTTTATGTACCGATTGGCCTACTTTGAAACTAAATTCAATCATTGTCTGGATTATTCTGATATTGACAGCCTCAAAATGACTTACACTTTCGCAGTGGTTTTAGTGAGTAGGGGCCTGCCCAGGCCGAGCCTCACACATCCCTTCCGGCCCCACCAAGGCCGGTTGGACGGCTCGTAAAAAGAGTTTCCACTACGTCATCAAAAAAAAAAAAAAAAAAAAAAAAAAAAAAAAAAAAAAAAAAATGACTTACACAGATTTCATCATAATTTAAATCTAGACTTAATAATAATTTATAAAAAGTGCTGATTAAGTTGACGATGTTTTTTAACTATCAAAATCTATTGCTAATGAAACTTTGTATTCTTTAGCTAAAATGTGTTTTTGTTCACTACTGATAAAAATAACATCCAGATTACATGACGTACGTACCAAATTTGACCGTGATGCCTAAACTGTCCAGAATAATTGAGTACCACCAATACATAAAAATAAAATTATTAAATACAAGAGGATATTGAAAAATGCTTACTTTTAATTTGAAAAAAGCCACACAGTCTTTCTTTCACCTGAACGTTGTACGAATGTAAACAATGCTGCTTCTAGACAGTGACAAACGACGTGAAATAAATAATTTTACCTTACCTTTCTAACATTTCAGTACTTACTTAAAAAGTAGAAACCAATTGTTCCTACTTTCATTTTGATTACATCTTCGACATACGACGACAAAAATAAATCAATAAAAATAGTCCGTTTAAGAAATTAAAAATAATATGGATTTATATACATAGGTATATTAAAATATAGTGTGGCTGTAGCTTATGTTGAATTTGAATTATATTATTCCTACCAAAGTTATTTGCAAATCGTTAACGACTAGTCACCCTGGAAATTATAAAAGGTGAATAATTAAACTGTGGTTAAACGAACCGATTAATATAATTGACAATTAACTAATTAACCAAAATTGAAACTGTTAACTCTGACTAGGTTATAAATATTTAATTTGAATTTAGTACAAGTATCGTTCGGTTTTAAGAGGTGCATTCAAAATAAGTTTTAAATAATTATTTTAAGTTAATATAGATAATATTTTAATAGAACGTTGAATAACTTGTTGATCTTTTTTTTTTACTAAATTTATTATGAAAGGAATAAAAACGTTTTATTCAAAGCTTTTTATTATTTCTGGTGGTAAATGAATTCCCACAACTTCATATCTTTTGGCTATTCAAAAATTTATACATTTTAAGCTTCCTCATAAGAATGAAAACCTTAGTCACTTGAGCCATCTGCCATCGGGAGGAGTAGGTGAAAATTGAAAGAAGTTATGTCAAATAGGTAGCCGTAGATAGAGGGTGCTTTAAAGCGATGCGAGGAGAGATTTTACCGATTTTGTAAAATTATTAAAATAAATAACGTCGTCTTTTCTCTTAATCGAGCAACCCGTCCAATTGAATAATAAATCAAATATTCTCGTAAATACACATTATTTAGTAAAAAAGCAGACATTTTCAAACATAATACACAATTTCTTTGTACTAAAGTTAACTATCAACTAATGAAATTAAAATTTAAGACACAGTGATTCGTGATTTCAACCACGAAGTGACATTATTGCTATCTTTAACGAAAGAAATAGAATTTCTTCAAGGTAAATATTTTTTCTATCGTTATATATTTTTACTTTTGAGTAATTATTCAATAAATCATACTTAGTATCACTTCCATCTTTTCAATAAAATAATATACAATCTTGAAATGGATACAAAATTCTATATTTCGTAAATAAAACTTATTTCAAACGTCACTAAAATCTTGATGTTCACGATTGTATAAAGTTTTCACCATAAAGAATTATCGGAGGACTTTTTCCTCTGTATGTTTTATATTTCAGATTGCTTTAATAAAACCTTTCATATTCCATTTGTTCTTTCCTTTGATAGGAACAATGTCTTACAATCTCAAAGGCTTCAAACTGTCATCGTATGCGTGTTTAAAACGTAAATCACGTAGAAGAGAGCTTTTATAGTAGACTGAAGTTTATTGCTCACAATAGCTCCACCATTTATATCGACTGCTTTATGGCTACAAATGTGACAAAATTGTAAACGAAGTAAACCTTTGAGTACCACTCGGCGGGTTATTTCCATGTTGATGTTTATACGTTTATACATTTTATTTGTTATTTTGTATCAGTAAAAATACTGTTAGATTTTATATCTTACTAATTTCAATTTGTTCACTTACGTAGTTTGAATTTAGAAGACGACAATAAAAGCGATTAGGAAGAAATGTCCTAAAAATATTAATTTATGTTTTGAGCCATAAAATCCTACATCCAATTTCTTGAACTCAATGTAAACTACATTGGGATTTGAATAAAACAATATTAACTTAAAATGTATCACTTACTCCATGTGTTCCTTATAAATGTCAAAGTCCGTGAAGACAAGTTCAACAATCTGGTGAGTTTCAGCAAGAAACGTGTAAAGTAAACATGTGTTCTGAGGGTAAGGACGAGGGTAATCCGGACTGCTGAAAGTTCCCCTTTCTTTGCCGTGCGTGGACGTGAAACGTACGCAGGTACAACCTGAAATAAATCATTTATTATTAAATATATTTTAGTATCATAATATTATATAAAACCCCTAACATTTATTGAAATTGTAATAATTATTGTATTAATATCCAATAACATATTTATATGATTCTAGAAATTACAAATACATTGTTCATAAAAGCATGAAATTGGTATTAAGTATAATAAAATATTTATTGGACCATAAGTACTTTAATATACTATATACATACAAAATAATTACTGTATGTATTATTATAATTTAACATACAATACTAATGTTCATTTCCAACCGTAAAAATTTAACAAAAGCTGTAACAACACGCATAATGACGCAATTGAAAAGCGACAATCAAATACAACTGGAGCAAATGTAAAACATAATAGCCGTCATAATAATAAGTAATAACGTTAACACTTCCAACAAATAAAATGTAAAAAGGAAAGGCCTTGCAGCATAACGGCGCTTTGCCGTGATGAATATTTTATGTTAAAATCTTTTGCGACTATGTCAGTTCTTCATGTAATCTTGTGAAAATGAGAATTCAGACCTGGATAACAACCAAATTAGTGGATAATCTTCACAAATGAGATGATATTTGTTATCAAGGTTTTTTGGGAATCTCCATTTGGTGTTCAATAATCACAAAGACCGTCAAATACTCTTTTCAATTCATTTTATATGCAACGTTATCATCAACATAATTTCTAAAAAAAAATAATCCTTTGAGGCACATTTAAACTATAAGAAAATTATACATATATGTTTTTTTTTCAATTTCTAGTTGAGCACTAATTAATGATTGGCGCTTAAAATTTTAATGCTAAACCATGCAATAATAAAAAAGGATATTGATAATTTATCGAGAATGGTATATTCGTATTATTAAATCTAATCTAATTGAAATATTTTGCTTACAAATTTTATTACTATTGGGTTAAATATTTATCACATTTAAATTGAATTACTATTCATCAATCATTCAATGAGAATCTAGTCCGAACGATTTGTTAAAAACAATCACGGTTTGAGGAGTAATATCCTTGAAATATTTCGGCGCTTATCTCTTACAATTTCCATCCATTGTTCCGTATAAATTAATAATGGAAGGGAATCTTGAAGAACGACAGTATGAATTTCAGACTAAATATGTATAGTAATGATATTTAAAAGTATTTTTTACCTAGCTACTTCCAATAAAAAAAATATTTTGCAATAAAAGATCTGAACTATACAATATGGCACTGTTCTAAAACAAGATGTTTACTTACTCGGATTTATTGCGTGGCCCTCATCAACCGTGTGAAGCGATAAGTGGACTAACAGCATCAGGGCTGTTGATGTCTGAAATGAAAATGCATTAGAAAATATCTTGCATATGAACTTTTATCAATTATCGAGCTACGTTATAAACTTCAATATCGAGTGTTTTAAATTTGACATGAAACTGAATATGAAATAAATTTTATATGTGATAAAATTATTTATTTAAGAAGTAAGATCTTCAAAATACGCATAAGGTTATTATGATCATAAGGCTTTCGATTTATAAGGCTAATCTGTAATCCGTCTTAAATTAAATTAAATAAAGAGACCCGTTAACGTTTCCACTTTTATTGCAGGGAATAAGGATTAGAAGGTAATCCAATAAGTACGTTCATGGCACTCTAATTGGGTTAGGTGTTTGATGCGACTTTAAAGGTATTCTTTTTACAGGATTAAAAACCGTAATAATAATATGATGACATACTCGTTAAGTAGGAAAATTGAACGATACTGAATTTATTACGTAGTCAGTTATTAAGTAAGTTTTGGAAGCAAACATTATATTCAAACTTAAAACCCATCGTATTAGATAAATGGATACTGTATAAAAGTGTAATAAATTTTACAGAGCCGTGTTAGGGGTAGCAAGCGCCTCGTTGTTATTCCCCTTTAGATTCTTGAAATACGTTAATTACAAAGAAAGCTTTTAAATGTAATAGTACTCATCAAACCGTTATACATTTACTGGGGCTTTTATAATTTTTATGAATCCTACTTAAATTATAACTAGAATGAAAATTCATATGTATGTAACTATGAGTAAGAGATACATTAGTTTCATACAGGAGAACTCTTTTTCTGAAATGGAAACAGATAATGTTGTTGGACAATGATTTTACGTAATGCAAAATAGTGAACACATATGAAGGTGTGCAACATACATATACTCCAACTTCCAAGTCTACTCAAAATGTACAATGTACATTTATAGGCCACATTACGATGGTATGAGGGCTATGCTAGTTTAAGTACTACAAAGCTATTTGTTAGGGACTAAGACACTACTTAAGTTGCATGTTGCTATGGCTTTTATCGTCTTAGTACGTTCTGTGTTTCAAGTTTAATGTATTATATTAAACAGAAAATATAACAATTAAGCAAAATCTATAAATTTCTTACTACAACACGATATTAATGACCGAAATTCAACCGTAAAAAAATCCAATAAAATTTTTATCAACCCTACACCGCTTTGACATCTGACGAACACCTAATTGCAAATGAAGTCAATAGGAATTTCCCGTTGACCAACCTTAAACACAAAAAAAGCCTTTGATAAGGGTGACAAAGATAAACTCGAGGTGAACCAGCTATTGATTTTCAAATTCGATGTCATTCAATAAATAAGATCCGGTTCTTTGTACTTGTATGGAATGTTTTATTCATAAATAAAGCTTCTAAAATATTAAAATTATAATGATTCTATGTTAATAATGCTTATAGTATAAAATAATTTACTACTTTACAATAAATTTACACTCTTAATAAAGTTAAAAGATTGTCTTAGTCTTCTGCGAACAGATAATATATAGTGACATGAACAGAGGCTAAATAAGGAAACTCAAACAAAAACCTTGCTCTTTGAACTCCAAGACTAACTTCGAACCACTAAAGCCGTTCAACAATAATAGTGGAGTGCAAGTTATTAAGCAATGGTCTTTCTTAGCAGTTAAATTATAGTAAAACTGCTTCAATTTCAGATGTCTTATTAGACAACCAAGAAAGCATAATTAATTAAAAATAGAATTGCAAATATTTGTAAAATTAAATTATCAAGTACTATGTAATCCACGAATTAAATACATAATTAAAACTCAAAAGCAGGGGAAACATTTAAATTACTATTTTTTTTAAATTATTATATACATATGTAAGTACTTTTAACAGTATTTCAAAAATGTTTTCGCAGTAAAATTATTGAAATACTAAATATCAAAATAATTCAAAGAATAACAAATTGAGATCGACTCTAATTTACTCAGTTAGACAGCAACAAATATTAAAAGTCAAACTAATCAATTAAATAACAAAATTTATTTCACGTAACCATAATGATTAGGCAATGTTGTTTATATAGCTACTATATCAGACAAATTCTTTTGTGCTATTTTTCAAGATGCCGTTATGAGATACTAATTTGGAAAATAATAAGTTCAAATAACACTAATATGTTCGAATTCTACGCGTTTTTTTGATTTTAAACTACATACATACTTTTGACGTTTCGGTTACTTTTCGGCAAACATGATTACGGGCAGACGAGATGAAAATGTTAAAAAATAAATTGCTGATGACAATGTCTGTTGCGATAACATTAAAGAATACATTCCGTATATAACACTTACCCTTTTTACATTTAGCTATTGCACTATAAAATTTAAATTGTAGACAACAATTTAATAGTTCATAAATATATAATTTGTTTTAAGTCTAATTATAATTATATCATGCCAGTATTAAAATCTTGAATTTCAAAATCAAATAATAGAATTATTTATAAACTTCTATCATGCTATGTCATATCAGGTTTGATCAAACCGTATCCGGTAGACAAAACCCTGCTATTTACTGAACAAAGGCAGTCATTGTCTTAGCTCATGTGTCATAGCTGATACAAATAACCATTTTGACTCAATGAGGTCATTTTGATATTATATTAGCTAAGTTTGTATAATTATAAATTACATAATAACCATTTTTATACCTATAATTTAAAAAACATATCATTCATATACATATTCAGTCCATTTCAGATAACACTACATTAACATACTTTTGGTTTTTTATTTTATTTACCTTTTTATTTTTTACGTAACAAATGTTATGGACTACATTTTATATAATAATTTTAAAAACTATTTCTCTAAAAGATCGAAAGGCGATACAGGAGTTATTGTAGCTTCGAGTTGGAATGAATTAAATCGATGAGAAACAAAACGATAAAACTTAAAAAGACCGAAGAAAATTCTTACAAAAAAGTGCAAAGACAAACTGATATTTGAGGTAAATATTTGGGGTAAGAAAATTTAATAAAATTAGTGTCAAACAAATGTTTAGCTGGATAGCTGCCTACTTAGCAATTTTCAGATATTACATATGACGTAAAAGTTAAGGTCATGTTCTTTTATTTATCAACTGTCAATTTTAGCCAAAAAGAGTTGGTTCCAAACAATATGGAGTGCTAAATGCCCGTTTTAAAGAAAAGTATTACGAGATGTCTTCTCCTACACTAACTTGGGCCGCAACTTTGTACGTATTGTATATTACTTGTTATAAGCCAACGTCTTGAAGAATGGATTGACATAAGAAAAAAAATGTATTCATTTTCAAAGAAACCAATTAAATTATATTTGCTAACATAACCTGGTAGTTCCAACAAATTAAGAATTTTTGTTTTAGAGTATATCATACCACACTTCTTTCTATTTAAGCACGTTAAATACAAGTGATATTAACAACTTTATTTCTATTTACTCGTAGATTTGATGAAGTCAATTTCAACAAAATGAAATACATCACTTTTAAGCATCGAAAGTATGTATATCTTATATAAATACATATCCTTATCTTGTAGTTTAAAAAATAATAATGTTTAAATTATACATACAAGGTTATGAAGTCTTGAAGTTTTTGAATTCATCAAACATTTTATACCTTAACCGTAACTGGCACAAGAGAAACAAAGTTTTATATCTCTATTTATATATAGTTGTATTCACAACTAACTCAATTTAACTAAAATTAAATTTATCAAATTTTCACTGTCATTTTGTTATGAATATATTTCAAAGCTAATGAAATCTCCACTTCGTGTGTCCATTATTAACTCAGGCACTCTATAACTTGATATTTTCCTGCCAGTCAAAGTATAATAATTAATGCTATTATAAGTATTTATATTTATTCTATGATTATAAAATACTTAGAATTTTAACGATAGCAGTAATTTTTTATCCAGGTATAACAAGATAAGCTTAAGATTTCGAAATATTTATGGTCATAAAAAGCAGTGTAATTGCGCCATAAAACTATAAAATATAAAAGACTATAGATTTTAGGTCCCTAAGGTCAAAAAGAGAAAATAAAAGACATCTAAAGTTATCTCAAATTATATGTATCTCTATCTCAAACAAGTAGTTTTTTTGTTAGAACACTGAAATATTTTTTCATAAACAAGACATACAAAAGTACGAATTTCCTAACAGCCTATAGTCCGAGCTTTAATGCTGGTCGCCTCTTAAGGTATGTGATCGATAGCACCGACGAGGTAAACACGCGTCAATCCATTTCATTCTGTCGAAGACCACAACGATTTTTATACGATTTATTTTGTCAGTTTATTTCTAACGCATACGATATATTATCTTGTGTTTGATCCACCAATAATGAAAATATTTAAGTAAGATTCGTAGTTTGATATGAGCCTTTACCATGTGAAGGCACGAGTCTTAGTCATGTGGAAGATGAATTTATAAAAAGCTGGGAAATGAATGTGATCTTTAAGGACATGTTAATTAATAGAGAATCAGATACTTTTATAGTCTAGTGATACAGATAATTTTATAGTCTAGTGATATAAGACGTAGATAATGTTTTAATTTACTGAAATTACACATTTTTTTATACCTTTAAATGCGTACTCATTTTTGTTAAGTCTATATTTTTTAAATACAATGTAATAATTTGTCAAATACTTTTTTTAAGTAACATTCTAACTTCATAATCAGGAATATTAGAATGTTGTTTGTCCTCAAATATTAGGTGCATCAAGTTACCGATAAATCAGTTACTTCCTACCTAATCTTATAAGTCACATACAAATTCATACAGTCATAATTTACAGATTTATAAGAAAAAGTTCGGATACTTTTATATACCTAGACAATTAAGGTGTTATAGATAAAGTTTACTACTAGGTTTAGAGGCTCATCTTTGCCCCCAAGTTAGTAAAATAAATATATTTGAGATAAAACGAATTGCTATGAATTAAATCATTTAATAAT